AAACACAAATGCATGTAGCAAAGACTTCAAACCTTGCGAGGCAACCCTTCAAGTTGATGACAAGATGTTGTAGCTTCTTAAGAGACCCTTCCAGGACTGGATTTTGGGATACCAGGAAAGACTATACATCGATATGCCTCATTTGCGGCTTTAATGTCGTCAAATTTGAAACGTGTATTCAACGATGACCCAGAATATGAGACTTGGTTCGTGGCCTCCGGGCTTGCCCATGAAGCTTAGACGTACTGGTTGCTAGCAAGAAGTGGAGGAATGAGACAGAAACGGCAACTTTTCACATTGGCAGGAGGTCCATAACGCCTAGGGGCTACCAAAATGCAGGGACCCATTCCCTCATGCCCAAGCCTAAACCCTAAATCCTAAAGCCTAAGTCCTAAACCCTAAATCCTAAACCCTAAACCCCAAATGGTGGTTTCCATTTCCTCTTCCACTCCACAATTCCTACGAAAAAAACACGCGAGAAGAAACTCCCAAGCCCAGCAGAGCCTGCTCGCAGGCACTTCCAGGGTTGGTCAAGATCTTGGACATATGGGAGACCACCTCCGCGGGGGTATGTATGGTTATTATGCAATTTAGGGTTTAGGATTTAGGGCTTAGGGTTTAGGGGGTTTAGGGTTTAGGGGACATATGGGAGACCACCTTGGCAGTCTAAACTCCTTAGACTGAGGGGGTTATGCAGGGGATTGTGTAATTTAGGGTTCAGGGTTTAGGGTGACATATTGAGACCACCTCCCCGCAAGTGTGGGGATGGTGCAAAGACTTGGCAGGTTGGAGGTATGGCGGAGTACTCACCTTGAAATATGGGGTTTAGGGTCTAGGGTTTAGGGTTTCAAGCGCCCCTTTTACCCTCTGCATGCAGTCTGGTAAAGCTCTCTCAGAGCGGCCGCACACGGGGTTTAGGGTCTAGCCGGAACTAAGATGTCTTGCATGTGTTCGGGCTTTCGGTTTCTTCCACAGAGTGAAATTTCAAAGGCTTCGGCAACGTACCATAGCCGGCTATGCTTCTTTGTGTGCTCATTCTGTACCTTTTAGGAACATCTTCCGAACTCAAATGTGAAAGTGGGACTTTGCAACTCTCAGAAACAAAGACCAGGGCCCATGTGAGATACAATACTCAACATGTCTCGTGGAATGGTGGGGCCCGCCAGCTGTGGCATCTTGGAATACATTTGCGATTCCAATGTCTGATCATGAGACGCCGGATGGCCTCCAATGGGTAAGAAACAGGCTCATAGAACGGGAAGAAGAATGTGCGGCTTGGGGTTCAGGACTTTAATACGAAGAAGGGATTTATCAACTTTGGAAGAATGATCCGTGTAAATTCTGTAACTGATATAGCCTGATGCTGAGACTCACACGACTCCTTCAAGACATGGGCATGTTTCTACACATGGTCCTCTACATTGAGCTACAGTCAATATTACCTGGATAATGAATGGATATGGGCTCCTAATTCGGGACTATATTAGGGATTCTACTAGAGTACAATAGAGAGCCAGAGTCCCTTCATAAGCCTGGTAGTGACAATACTTCGCATGAACACCTAAGACACGATGGGTTCTGGAGTCCCGGGATCCCCCGACACATGAAAACTACGAAGCCCCCAAACGACCCCAAACACAAAACACCGTAGAGTCACCCAAACCCTGAATCGGACACCCTAAACCCTAAACGCTAGGCGCTAAATCCTGAACCTGAATCCCTAAACCCAAAATCCTAAACACTGAAACCGCAAACCCTAAACCAAAATCCCAAGCCCGTAAAGCCCCTAAGCCTAAGCCCTAGATTCCCTAGATCCTGAAAGACTAAAACCCCCTGAAAACCCAAGGCCTCCTGCGCCATGCGGCCTACTGCGTTCCGGAAATGCTGATCCAAGGTGTCCACAAAAGTCTTTGCCCACACCTCAGTAAGGGCTTGGGGTTTAGGATTTAGGGTTGAAGTTGAGAGGTGTTTGGGTTTATGATTTGGGGTTCAAGTTTACACGTTTTAGGGGTTTAGGATTTGGGGTTTCAAGTTTAGGCGTTATAGGGCTTTAGGAATTGGAGTTTTGGGTTTAGGGTTTACAGTAATAATAAGGAATCCAAGCAACCAGCTATGCCGCTTAATATCGTTCACTCAGACCCTATGCCCTAAGCCTTAAACCCTCGGCCCTTAATCCGAACCCTCTACCCCATGACCCCTCTAAGTGTTTTCTTGAGGTTCAAGTGGGGCTTCGCGTGCAGCCAGGTATGAGCATCCACAATTGTCCCCAACACCTAGAGGCATAAATGTAGCCCCATCATTAACAAACCTCCTCCGTTTGAAGGCCATAATACTTTTATCCCTAGTATGAGCCCTATTCAGGGGAGGGGGCTTACCAATCAGGAGTCTACATTATCCCACAAGGGATTACACAACAGCATGTTCCACACCGAAAAAGATCGGGCAGGCTGTCTCGGCAGGTTATCTGAGCCAGTGCAGCACCCAGCAGCGGACTTTCAAATCTTCCAGAAGCCTTGAAACTACCATACTTCCTGTAGAAACTTTGGCGTTCTAGAACCAAAGAACATGCTGAGAACACTGCTCCAAATTTCACTCAACCCTCCCCACCGAGGAGAGAACCTTGGCACAGTGCACTTCGCGCTTGCCGCTGTCAACGCGTGCCTAAGTCGGCAGGTTGAAGGCTCTTCTGCTGACACTGTTGCCGGATCCCGTTCATGTTGATGAAACCACATAACCGAAGGACTGACAAAATGCCTTCAACAAAAAAAAAAAAAAACATGTTCACTGCTTTTGCTGCGAACACAGTTCTAAGAGATATTGGCAGGACTCTCTCATGGAGGGGCCCATATGGCCATATGGGGCGTGGGACCCCTGAAGCTTCTTCAGAACTGTTCACAACCCCAAATGCAAAGCCCTGAGCAATACCTCTGAACCTTTACACCCAACTGACCTCAAAGCAAGGGAGGGACCTGGATCTCCCACAGCTTCTGCTGCTTCTTGCCCAAGATCTCGTTGACGCGAGTCTGAAAGTTCTGCTGCCTCAACGGCTTCTGGTCAGGGAGAGGGGGTACTATGCCGAGGCTGTAGGCAAGGGCTTGCTGGCCACCGTTACGAAAAGGTCCACACAGCATCATACAGCAACTGACATTCACTTCGCTCTGCTAGCATGTTCACTATTTATTTCAGCTCCATGTTACAATCCTTGCCACCGCAGAGCCCTAAACCCTAAAACCTAAAACCTAAACCGCCTAAACCCCACACCCAACGCCTGAAGCCAAGGGAAGAACCCGCACTTCTAGAGCGTTGCTCCCTAAATCCCTCCAGCCAACGCTCCACAAGCCCTAACCTAGGGTAGGTTTGGGGGCCCTATTTAAATGTTGAAAAATATGGCTTTATAAGGATTATAGGTATAAAAAAAAAAAAAAGGAAAATTGTTTTCAGATCTATCCCTGTGTAACGTCCTGACTCGTAATCTGCAACCTTGAACCCCTAAACAACACTTCCATAGACCCCTGAGGTTGGTGTACCCTAAACACCACGTAAATCATGTACCCTAAACATCTGCGTATCATGCGTTGAAATGCGTGTGAGACGAGCGGCTCAATCTGAAACCGATAGTGGATGGTAGCCTGCTTCAAGAAATGTGCTTCGGAAGGGAAGTAGGGTCCCGTACTCACAGGAGCAGTCCGGGAAATTTTTAGTTTGGGAGTTGTGCTGTAGACCCCTAAACACTAAACCCTAGGGCCCACAAAAATGATAACAATAGGGTCCCCAAAACTTAATGAAAACTCTCTCTGGGCCAGCTCGGCAGGCTTACGTCCGACTTTCGGGGGAATTGCATCTCTGTTGGGGATTCGAGTTGTTGACCATTTCCTGCCAGAGTAAGTCATACATGCAATAGACAGGCTGAATCCCCCCCCCCAATCCTAAGCCCCAAACCCTAGACCACAAAGTGCCTCGAATCCAGTCACACCCCAGCCTTCGCCATCTCGTAGACTAACCTCGGGTGCTGAGCTGCTGCTCTAAATAGTGGAGACCCTGCGGGGCTTAGACCGGTTTAGTTCAAAGTTTTGGGATTTAGGATTTAGAAGTTGCTTAGCTCGGGTCCTGCTGAGGGATGTGACAGGCTTCAGCAATAGGATCGCACATAGATGGCCCCAGGCCAACAGGGCGTCCCACAGTTGTTTCAAAGATCCTTCATGGCATGTGTTCACCTTTGGCGGTGAAAGGAACAAGCGTTTGGTCATTCAGGACGTCCCCTGCAAGAGCCACCCAATTCTCGAATGCGTCCAAACCCCGAGCATTAGATCCCGAGGTCCTGGGCATAAACCCTAAACCCTTACTGTCTATGGCAAAGGGCCTGAACCCTAACCTTAAAACCTCTCAGGCCTCCTTTCAAAATTCGCCGCATCTCAAAGTCTGCTACGCTCCGGCAAAGCAGAATCGCGGGCTGTACAAAGTTTTGTGGGTTATGTCGCGGACTGTACAAGCTACTCCATGCTGCCTGGTAGGCAGTCAAAGGCCCTCAAGGCAGTCTGTACAAGCGTAAACCCTAAACCCTAAACCCTAAACTCTGAACCCCAAAGCCTAAACCCCAAGCCCTAAACCCTAAACACCGTGTGTTGGACTCTGCTGAGATGACTGGAACCAGGTAGAAGGTCTCCAAGATTCGGAGTTGAACCTTCCAGGGCTCCTGATTTTCCGGGTAGAGAGGGATGTTGTTGGTAGCAATCCCTCTGCTATAACACCCAAAATCCCAGCCATAATCCCAAAATCTCTTCGTTCCCTGCTAACCAGCAGCCAGCGCCCTTCACATTCCTAATGACTCTACCCCAAACCCTAAACCAAGCCTGACCCCCCCTAACTATACTCTACCCCAAACCCTAAACCAACCCTAACCCCCCCTGACTATACTCTACCCTAAACCCTAAACCAACCCTAAACCCCGCCTAACTACAAACCACCACAAGTTTCTGTTCGCGAGCCTTCGCTCTGACCCCTCAAAAGACGCTCTCCTTGGCTCTTCAGGGGTTGATTGAGTGGTTCTTGGGGTTGGGGATTAGAATTTGGGCGCTTTGGGGAGGGAAAGGATCTAAGGTTGAAAGGCTTTTTGGGGATTAGGGTTGAGGCTTTAGGTGCGCAAGGCCTAGGACTTTAGCATTAAGTTCTGGGGTTCAGGGATCAGGGTTTAGGGAATCTGGAGGTAGGTGTTGTTCGCTTACTAGTGTTCAGGTGAGGCTTAGGATTTAGTGGTTGGGGTTAACTTCAGGCTTGTTGGACTGGGGTTCATGTAGGGTGTAGGATTGAAACATTAAGGAGTGGGTACATTCGGTTTCTCGGAACGCGGTTACCGCACGCACGGCTCTTGTGGAGATGTAATGGTTGTAAAAGTTCTGCAGCAGGAAGGTATACTGACAACTCCAAGAACGGCCAAGATTGTGATCCTAGATTCCTTGTATAATTACGGTATACGCTGCCTCACATAAAGTAATTACTCAAGCTTCGACGTTAAACCGAAACAAACAGCCCAGGCCCTCAATCCGAAATCCAAAACCCTAAACCCTAAGCCCAAAACCCCAACAGCCCAGACCCTAAATCCACCCTAAATCCTGAACCCCAACAGCCCCGGCCCATGGCAGGCCCAGTTGCTACGAACTCTTCCACGCCATGCGCTGCCTCGCCGGCAGGGCGCCCGACATCCTGAGACTCGCCCCAACGAGTCAAGGTTTTGGGGTTTTGGTTGAAGGTTAAGGGTTGAGGGTTTAGGGTTTTGGGGTTTGGGGTTTAGGGTTCAGGATTTAGGGTTGAGTGTCGAGGGTTGGGGGCTTAGGGCTTGGAACTCTTTTGGCTTCGGGTTTAAAGTGGTGCTTAAGGTTCGGGGCTCTCACGAGCATACCCGAAACTGCTTCTTGGGCATTGTTGGACTTTTGCAAAGTTTGCTGAGGATCCCAGGACGTTCAGACTCCGGAGGTACAGCATCACATAAAGTGCTGAATCATGTGGCTATAGGGGTTATATAGGGGTTATATAGAGAGAGATATAAGGTTTAGGGCTTATGTGGTTGTAGGGGATATATCATCTAAGAGTTTAGGGCTTATCTTTGATTAGGACTGAGAGTGAACAAGCATGAGATTCTTCAGTGGAATGCTAAAGCTTGAACCCTGATCACTCTCATCATGAACCCCTAACCTCAAACTCCTAGACCCTAAATCCCAAACAGCTGGGTTACTGTCAAGGAACTTAGTGAACAGCTGGGTTACTGTCAAGGAACTTAGTGAACTGATTATGGGGGGGAAGCTCTAGTATTTTATCGTATGTACGCCATAATGACGCCAGATCCATATTATGTTTACTCCGTCAAAGTTCCTTAACAGCAACACCGTAAGCCGCAAGCCTTACACCTGTTTAGGCTCTGCACCCCACGCATCACGGCCTGGCGTCTCTTGCGTGCTCGGCAGCAGAGGCCACGCCTGCACCAAGGGCCAATCCACCTGCAGCTGCCCCAGCCATCTTCCTAGGTTCGAAACTTGGACTTTACGGGCTGGGGAGCTCAGAGCACAGGGTTTGGAGATTTTGTAGTTTCCCAAAACAGGAGGACCCAAAGATAGAGCCAATAATATGTTGATGCTTATAATGCGGACCCACTACTTCTGGGAAACGCCAATTTGGGCTTGAGTCATTAGTTGAGGGATGTGGATTAAGGGTTCAGGATTTAGGAACTAGGATGGGAGGCCTGGCACCTATATTGCTAAGGGTTGCCTGGCGCCTAGGGCTAATGTTTGATGATTTAGGGTTGATGGTTTAGGGTTTAGGCTTGAAGGTCTTCTGGTCAGAGGGATATGCGGCATTGTGGCTTAGGGAAGGTCTCATGGACTGAGCGTGGAAGGATTGAGATTTTGACTTTTTGGAGGTAGGTGTTGAGAAATCCGGGGCTTCGGGTTTAACATTTGCGGTTTGGAGTTCAAGGTTTGCAGTAGGGTTAACCCTAAACCCTAAACCCTAATCCCTAGAGTTTGGGGACTAGGGCTTTCGGGTTCACCCTTCTAGATGCAGGCAAAGCAAGGTTGCAATGACGCACAGACCCCCAGAAAGATGGAAAAAACAGTGTGTAGGGTTTAGGTTTTAGGTGTTGAATTGGTGATTTGTTTTTGTTATTTTTGGGGGTGGTGGTGTATATAAAGCACTGTAGCATAAGAGATCTGATTTTTAGATCTTCCAGGGGTCTGGGTAGGGATTTAGGGTTTTGGATTTCGGGAAGGGACTAAGGATGATAAACGTGCTACGGGACCACAACAAATTGCCTATAAAAACTGATGTCCTTTGCATAGCACTGTAAGCCTAGAACCCCAACCCTAGCTAAACTTACCCATGCCGAGCGGGGAATAAAGGACTAATGTCCCTATATAATCCCTTATAAGGTCTTCCCTTACTGGGGGTTCGTCGGGAATAATATTCCCGACTAACCCCCAGTAAGTAAACCCCTCCGCTACTTCCCAAGGCGTGTCCAAGCTTCATACCGCAGCTCAGGCCCTCAGTCTGCGTGTAAGGCCCATCCTTGCATTGGGTCTGTGCACTGGCATTCTGGTCGAACTGGCCATATCCAGGCTGCTGGCATCCTATCGTTTCGGGTTTAGGCTTCAAGGTTGAGGGTTTAAGGTTTAG